AAGAATTCCACATCAGTATCTCCAAGGCAGGTGCCAGGATGGTGCCAGACACTTTTCAGTGGTGCCCAGTGATGGGAGGTTGTTGGCACAGAGCACTGGCACAACTGGCCAGGCTGAGCATGGCACCTCCCTCTTTAAGAACATCCCACATCAGTATCTCCAAGGCAGGTGCCAGACATTTTTCCAGTGGTGCCCAGTGACAGGAAGTTGTTGGCACAGCAGCCCAGGCCGAGCACGGCACCTCCCTCTCCGGAGCCATCCCAAACCCACCTGGCCGTGTCCCTGAGCCCTGGGTGACCCCAGAGGTCCCTCCCAGCCCAGCCCCCGTGTCACCCCGTGCAGGAGGGCAGCCGAGAGCCCCTCTCACCTCCGGGATCGGACGTGGTAGCTGTCCTCCCGCCGGTGCCGCCGGTCCCGCTCGCTGCTGCTGGACCGGGACCGCGTCCGCCGCCGCTTGTGCTTGCGGCTCCGGTAGCGCTCGTGGTAACTGCCGCGGCTGCTGCGCTCCGACGAGCGGTACCTTCGGGAGTGCGGCATCTGTGGGGACAGCGGGGACACTCAGGAACCCGTGGGGACAGTGGGGGGACAGCAGGGACACCCTGGGGACAGTCAGGGACCCCGTGGTAACTGCCGCAGCTGCTGCGCTCCGACGAGCGGTACCTTCGGGAGTGCGGCATCTGTGGGGACAGCGGGGACACTCAGGGACCCATGGGGACAGGAGGGACAGTCATGGACAGTCAGAGACCCTATGGGGACAGCAGGGACACTCAGGGACCGTGGGGACAGCAGGGACCCCGTGCTAACTGCCGCGGCTGCTGCGCTCCGACGAGCGGTACCTTCGGGAGTGCAGCATCTGTGGGGACAGCAGGGACAGTCAGGGACCCCACGGGGACAGCAGGGACTGTCAGGGACCCGTGGGAACAGCAGGGACAGTCAGGCACCTGTAGGGACAGCAGGGACCCCGTGGGGACAGCAGGGACAGTCAGGGACCCGTGGGGACAGTACGGACTGTGAGGCACACATGGGGACAGCAAGGACCCTGTGAGACACTCATGGGGACAGCAGGGACAGTGAGGCACCTGTGGGGACAGCAATGACCCCACAAGGATGGCAGGGACCCCGTGAGGCACGTGTGGGGACAGCAGGGACAGTGATGCCCCCATGGGGACAGCAGGGACGTGTGGGGATGGCACAGACACTGTGAGGACAGCAAGAACCCTGTGAGGTCAGCAGAGACCCTGTGAGGCATCTGTGAGGACAGCAGGGACCCCGTGGGGACAGCAGGGACAATGGGGCACCCTGTGAGGCACCCGTGGGGACAGCAGGGATCTGTGGGGACAGCAGGGACCCTGTGAGGATGTCAGGGACACTGTGAGACCCCCATGGGGACAGCAGAGATAGTGAGGAACCCATGGGGACAGCAAGGACCCTGTGAGGCTCCCGTGGGGACAGCAGGGATCTGTGGGGACAGCAGGGACCCTGTGACACCCGTGGGCACAGCAGGGACCCTGTGAGGACTTCATGGGGACAGTGGGGACTCCCTCTCTGCTGTGAGGCCCCCATGGGGACTGCAGGAATCTCTGGGGACAGCAGGGACCCTGTGACACCCGTGGGGACAGCAGGGCAGCATTAACAGCTGCATGGGACAGCAATCCAACGTGTGTGAGTGTGCCAGGGGACCTGAGAGAGGAGAGCAAACTCTGAGAGACCCCAGAGCCCCACGGGACAGGGTGAGACCACCCATGGTCATCTTGCCCCGTTTTCTTTCCCCAAAAAAACACCTGGTTCTCATTCCCAGGTTTGTACCCTTTCCTCACACCCATCTCTACTGCCCACAGCTCCAGGAACAGCTTTTGGACCATTTCTCTTTAAGCTGCTCAGGAAGGAGGGAAGCAGCACCAAGGAAGGTGAAATGAAGCTCTGGATGTCACCAGAGCCCCTGGGCAAGGTGAGAAATGGATTTATAGAAAATCCTCAAAGCCTGACAGAAGTTTCAAAAGTTGGCCTTGCAAATAAGACTGGATACTTTGGAGAAAAAGAACTATGAAAGATGCATTGGAGTGAGACCCATGAGGGGTAATTTTAAATTATTTGCTTTACGGTATTTACAGCATTGTGTGGCTAAATAAGCCCAAAAAATATTCTACTGTGTTGTAATTAAGAAATAGTTCATTTCTGATTGTGATGGCATGAATTATAACATCTGTATTGTGTCATCCTTCACACGAAGCTCAGAATAGAATAAAAGTTGTTAAAATGCCTCTCAGCTGCCCCATCTCTGGGTCAGAAAAAGGCAAAATCCAGCAATGGATGCCCAGAGCAGCTCCTCAGAGATGCTCAGGTTTCCTGCCAAGGGACATCTGCACTGGGACAAGGGTGGGGAAGGGTCTGGGGGTGTTGGGGCTGTTCAGCTGGGACTGAGGGGAGATCTCAGGGGGCTGCAGCTTCCCCAGGAGGGACAGCTCTGGTCTGTGCTCTGTGTGACAGTGACAGCACCCCAGGGAATGGCTGGGGCTCTGTCAGCAAGGTTTAGGATGAATACAGGAAAAGGTTTTTCCCCCTGGGCACTGCTCAGGCTCCCCAGGGCTGCCAGAGCTCCAGGAGAGCTTGGACAATGCTCCCAGGGATGCACAGGCTGGGATTGTTGGGGTGTCCTGGGGAAGGACATCAGGACGTGCTGATGCCTGTGGATCCCTCCCAGCTCAGGGGATTGGTGACACACACCCCTCTGTCCATGGAGAACCAGCAGCAGCAAAGCCTCCCCTTCCCAAAGGGCACCAAGAGAGCCCTGAAAACCCTCAGGGGGTCTCAGCTACACCAAGAGAGCCCTGAAAACCCTCAGGGGGTCTCAGCTACACCAAGAGAGCCCTGAAAACCCTCAGTTCTGCCCCTCTGGAGAGGCTGGAGCCAAGGGGATCCAAAGGACACCAAGAGAGCCCTGAGGACCCTCAGTTCTGTCCCTCTGGGGGAACATGAGAGGATGGAGCCAAGGGGATCCAAAGGACACCAACAGAGCCCTGCAGACCCTCAGCTCTGCCCTTCTGGAGGGGCTGGAGCCAAGGGGATCCAAAGGGCACCAAGAGAGCTCTGTAGACCCTCAGGGGGTCTCAGCTCTGTCCCTGTGGGGGAACATGAGAGGATGGAGCCAAGGGGATCCAAAGGACACCAACAGACCCTCAGGGGGTCTCAATTCTGCTCCTCTGGAGGGGCTGGAGCCAAGGAAACCCCGAGGTGAGATGGCACAGCGGGTGCAGCCCCTCAGACCATGCCCCATAGCTCTCAACCATTCCCCGCACGCATTTTGGTTCCAAGCACAATTCGTGGAACCATGGAACGTTCACTGGGTGGGACCTTCAAGCTCCCTCAGTCCCACCCCCTGCCATGTGCAGGGCCACCTTCCACCGGCCCAGGCTGCTCCAAGCCGGCATTGAACACCGCAGGGATGGGGCAGCCACAGCTCCTCCGGGCAATCTGTGCCAAATTCCCCCATCCAAAATGCCCCCGGCTGCGTCCCCGTCCCCGCCCAGCGCTGACATCACCGCCAGGGCTCGGACAGGCCGAACCGGCCCCGGCGGCGCGGGGTGATCGGGGGTACGGGCCCGGTACCGCCCGCACGGGGGGCTTTGCCCGGGGCTCCCCCCGGTTTCCAGCCGCAAACTGAAGGGAGCGCGAAGGCGGCGCTGGCGGCCCGCCAAGCCCCGGTTCCATGGAACGAGCACCGGGGCTGCGTTCCGCAGCGGGGCTGGAACCGCTTTGGGGACGGTGATGGCGGCCGCGCCGGGCGGGGCCTCCGCCATGCAGGCCCGGAAGCACCGGGACACCGGGAGAGATGGGCGGAGGGCGGGGCGGCCTCGGCGGGGAGGCCCCGAGCCGGTCCCTCCGGGCCATCCGGCCCCGCCGCCCTCACGGGGACACCCAGGCCGCCGATTCCCACCGCGGCCCCGCCGGGAACGACAAACCGGGCCCGCCCCGTGCCGCCCTCACCGGCCGCGGCCTACCCACCCCGCCCCGGCCCGCGGGGCCCCGCACCGCGCCGCGCCGTCACGCACCGTCCTCGCAGCCAGCCCGGTGCGCTTGTCCCACAGGAAATCCGTGATGGCGGCCGTGGGCCCCCGGGCCCCGCTCCAGCTCCTGCCGCCGCCGCCGATCCGGGTCCTGCCAGCCCGCGGGGCCGCGCACGCACGGACGCGATCACGTACGCACGCACGTAGGCGCGCGCAGCTGCGTCACAGCAGGTGGGGCCGGTGGGCGGGGTTAGAGGCATGGGGCGGGACCGGTTCCGCACGGATCGCTCTTTAAGCCACGCCCCCTTTTCGGACCCGGCGGCGCGGGCTGGGCGAGGCCGAGGGGCGGGGCCGGGGTAGATTGCCCCGCCCACCTCCTCTGCGAAGCCACGCCTCTCCCTCCTGACGGCGGCGGGACCGTGCCGAGGGGCGGGGTGAAGATATGGGCGTGGTCTGTGATGATAATCCCGCCTATCGCCTCCTGGAGCACCGCCCACATCTCACCAAGCCACGCCCCCGCCTCGCCCTGATGCCTGTGATGGGCTGGGCTACCCGACAGTGACCACGCCCCTTGTGTCTAGCCCCGCCCCTCTCTCCTTGAAGCCCCGCCCCTCTCCGTTCCCTCCGGCGGTACCGGGGCCGTACCGGGGGGCGCGTTCTCCTTCCCGAGGCCCCGCCCGCCAGCCCCGCCCCGCCCCGCCCGCCGCGGGGTCCCGCCGCCGCCGCCGCTCCGGTGCCTCCCGGGCCTCGCCGCTCCCCGCGCCGCCGCTCCGGTGCCACCGGCGCTTCCCGGCTGCCGGCGGCCGCCGCGCCCGCGCCGGAGCGTGCGCAACAGGCGGGCGCCGGCGGAGCTCCGTGAGCGCTCGGTGAGCGAGTGGCCGCGGGCGGCGAGCGAGCGCCCGCCCGCCCGGGGCCGGGCATGTGCGGCGGGGCGGCGGGCAGGGCGCCCGGGCAAGGGCGTTTGAAGGAAACGTGAGGCGAGGCGGCGGCGGCGGGATGGAGGCGGCGCCGCGGCGGAGCCCCGAGCCGCGGGAGAAGCCGCCGGTGCTGGACGGGGAGGCGGCGGGGGCGCCCGCGGGGGCGTCGGGCGCGGCCCCGGCCTCGCCGGCGGCGACGGAGCAGATCGTGGCGGAGGGCGAGGCGGCGGCGGCGGGCACCTTCGTGCAGCGGCAGCTCGGGGCGATGCTGCAGCCCGCCGTGAACAAGTTCTCGCTGCGCATGTTCGGCAGCCACCGGGCCGTGGAGATCGAGCGGCAACGGGTGAAGTCGGCGGGCGCCTGGATTATCCATCCCTACAGCGACTTCAGGTGGGACCGCGACCCCCGCCCCGGCACCGGCGCCGAGCCCCATCCCGGCTCCGGTACCCGCCGCCGCTGTCCGTGGTGCTGAGCGCGGCCCTGCCTCCCGCCACCGTAGGGGCAACAAGTGCCGGTAGCCGGGGCTCCGCACCGGCCCGGGGAGGCGGCTGCCACCGCCGGAGCCCGGGGCCGCGCTGCCACAGCCCCTTCCCGTCCGGGATTATCCCGCCCGCACGGACGGCTTCGTCCTGCCCGGCTCCCGCGGGCTCCCGGTGCTCCCGGTGCCCGGGGCAGCCCCGCTCCACCGAGCCGCGGGGCTCCGCTGACCCGGCCCCGGGCGTGCGGAGGCGGCGGCGGGGGATGCTGGGCTTTGCCTGCCCTTAGAGCTCCCCCTCGCCCTTTTCGATGCTGTTTTTAATTCGATCCGGAGCCTTCATCCCCCCGGAACGCGGCTCCCCGCGGCTGGAGCGGGGCCGGTCACCCAGCGAGGAGCCGGGCCCGGCTCTCGGTGTCACCGGGATCACAGCGGGAGCTCCGGGATGGATGATGTGGGAGGAACTGGGTGTCACGGGGATGTTGAGTCATATAGGGTGGGCTTTCTCCGCGGGGAACGGAGCTGCCAGGCAGTCATCTCCCGCAGCAAGCTGTGACATGGATGATGTCCCCAGCCTGGAGAGCACAGCCAGCGCCCACTGTGGGTCCCTGGCACCTGTAGCCATCCCCCCTCACCGCTCACCGGGTCCCTTGCACCACCCCAGCGTGACACCCAGCCCTGAGAGCCTCTTTTCCAGGGAAAGCATCCCAAAGTTTGTGAGCCTGGAGCTCGGCAGGAGCAGTTTCTGCAAGCAGAGCCGTGAGGGGAGCTGGCAGGTAGACAGACAGAGGGATTACTCCGGTGTTTATCACATTAGGGAGATACATAAAGGCCATGGAGATCAGGGCCTCGAGTGCTCAGTGTGACACTCAGTGAAGGACAAGGCCTGTCCTAAAGAGCTTAAGCCTAAATCTGAAGCGGGAGCTCCAGGCAGGCTTGGGCAGCTGCAGGGACAGGCAGCTTCCCTGCTCGGCTTCTCAGGGCACAGCATGGAGGTTCAGGAGGAGATTCCTCGGCTGGGTCAGGCCCTTTCTGCCTCATTTCCTTCCCTGGCCCAGCAAATCCTGGCCACTGGCAGGAAGGTGTTATTTGGGAGAGGCTCCTGACCCTGGGGTGGTTTCTGGATCTGACCTTGGGGTGGCTCCTTGAGGAGAGGGTGCCTCCCCCTACTCCCCTCAGGCTCTGGTGGTGTCTCTGAAGGAGCCTCTCACTGCACCACGATCTCCTTTCCCCTTCCCCTTCTTTCCCCTTCCCCTTCCCTTTCCTTTCCCCTTCCCCTTCCCCTTCCCCAGCTGCAGAGATCCCGGTATCCGTGTCCCACCATGGATGCAGGGTCGGAAATCCCCAGAGGCTTCTGCCACCTGCAAAATCTGGTTTGGATTCGCTGGGCACCGAGAGCTGCCCTGAAATCACCTTTGGAGATCTGAGCCTACACCCACGGCCAGGGCTGGGACTAACAGGGGATGCCTGGGGACACCTAAAGCTGGGCTTGCTTTCCCAAGGGCCCGTGAGGGCTCTGATGGGGGATCCCAGGAGTGACAAATCTGGTGGAGAAAGTCGTGATGTGTCTGTGTGAAGCATGAAAACATCCCGGTGGCATTTGCATGTGAACAGGGCTGCTGGGTGTCCTGACATACCCAGCTGCTGCCAGCATCTCTTGCCTTTCCCTCCCTGCCAAACTCCCAGTCAAAGGAGGTGGATGAGGAGTGCCTTCATCCTGCCCTGTGCATGTGGCACCTCCTGTAGGGCTGGACCCTCCTCCCAACCTTCCCCTGGTGCCAGCATGGTCTCTCCTTGCTTGGCTGCTGCCTGGCTCACCACAGCAGCCTCCCTGATCCTTTTGTGCTGCCCCAGGAGCTCGGCTCTCCGTTTGCATAACCAGCAAAGCTTATCCCAAATCCTGCTAAGCCAACTCGGGTGGTGGCAGGGAGACGGCGGATGACAAGGAGCCTCAGGGGAGCAAAGCCCACATCCTCTCTGAGCTCTCCATGGGGCACGTGGCAGCTTTGGGGTGGGGGCATGGGTGGGCATGCACTGCCCTGCAGCAGAGAGAGAGACAGCCAAGCTCCTGCACCCCCCCATTCCCACACAGGGTGATTTCTGCACCCCAATTCTGCTCACATCTGTCCCAGGGTGTTAGTCATGCGTGTGGGCAGGCACGTGTGTGTGTGTGTGTCTGCTCAGCACCTGCCTCTCTGCACTCTGTCAGACCCTAACTTTGATCCTGGGTTAATTGTCTAACTGTGTCCTGCCTGTCCCACTCCTGCATTCCCCGCAGGTTTTACTGGGACCTCATCATGCTGCTCCTGATGGTGGGGAATTTGATCATCCTGCCCGTGGGCATCACCTTCTTCAAGGATGAGAACACCCCTCCCTGGATCGTTTTCAACGTGCTGTCGGACACTTTCTTCTTGGCTGACCTGGTGCTGAACTTCCGGACGGGCATCGTGGTGGAGGACAACACGGAGATCATCCTCGACCCTCACACCATCAAGATGAAGTACTTGAAGAGCTGGTTCCTGGTGGACTTCATCTCCTCCATCCCTGTTGACTACATTTTCCTCATTGTTGACCTGGAGACCCAGGTGGACTCCGACGTCTACAAGACGGCGCGGGCGCTGCGCATCGTGCGCTTCACCAAGATCCTCAGCCTGCTGCGCCTGCTGCGCCTCTCGCGCCTCATCCGCTACATCCACCAGTGGGAGGAGGTGAGAACCCCTTGGGGGCCTCCTGCTCGGGGTCCCAGGCCAGGCTGGGGGTGCCCAGCTATTGGAATAGGAATCCCAATATTACCAGTTAGATTGTGCCTGGGCCAGTCTGACCCTCGCTGCTGGGCCAAAGGCAGCAGCTGTGGTGTAATCACCCCAGAGACACCTTTGGCTTGCTGGAGATTGCAGCTGGGCACTGAAACAAGTCCAGGCTTGGTAGGAACTCTGTTTACCTCAGGAGGAAGGCTTCAGGCAAATGGTGAGGAGGAAAGGAGATGGATTCTGCTGGAGGGTTTAATATCCAGAGCTTTATACCATGGTTACAGAGGTCTGAATGTAGGCAGCTGCTCCAACAGAATGGCGACCGCATGGCCTGATCGCCTTTTTAAGCTCCCGGGGCAGGGGGAGGGGAGGGGACAGGTGAGTCACCAACCAGGTGAGAGGGGCAGGGTCTCAGGGGGGGATGACACCCAGACAGGCCAATGACCTCTGGGCATAGGGGCATCTTTTGAACTTGGCCAACCACACGACGCCTTGCTGGAATGTTAAACCTGATTGACAGGACTCACTCAGCATGGGGGCAAGGGGGAAGGGAGAGAGGTATAGGCGCACCTGGGAAGGGACCCGGAAGTTTAAAAGAGGCTATTATAACACACTGCAACACCCAGCTGGAGGGCAGAGGGCTCTAAAGGCTGTTCTGGGAGTTCCTCTGCAGCTGTGCCCCTGCGTGTTCTCCAGATCTTCCACATGACGTACGACCTGGCCAGCGCCGTGGTGAGGATCTTCAACCTCATCGGGATGATGCTGCTGCTGTGCCACTGGGACGGCTGCCTCCAGTTCCTGGTGCCCATGCTGCAGGACTTCCCTGAGGACTGCTGGGTCTCCAAGAACCACATGGTGGTGAGCGCCCAGGCTGGGGTGGTTCCTGGTGGGGAGAGGATTTGGCTCCCTGTCTCCCACCCCAAGGCTGGAGCTGCTGGGAGATGTGCTGGTGAGCATTGTCCCCGTGGTCACAGCAGTGAGATGGGGCAGAGGGGACCTGTGCATCACCTTCCCATCTCAGCCCAGCTTGATGGAGTCAGGGAACAGGACACTGGGGCTCCTGCCTCCTCCCCAGAGGTGCAGGGTGACTTTTTAGGGCTTCAAAATCCTCTTGATGGAGAAGAACTCATCCCTTGGGGAGGGAACAGGACAGTGGAGCTCCTGTCTCCTCCCCAGAGCAGGGCTGGTGCCTGATTAGGGCTTCACAGTCCTCTTCATGGAGAAGAATTCATCCCTTGGGGAGGGATCAGGACACTGGGGCTCCTGCCTCCTCCCCAGAGAGGGTCTGGTGCCTGTTTAAGATTTCACAGTCCTCCTGATGGAGGAGAACTCATCTCTTTGGCCCTGGAGGAACCTTGGTTTCTGGACTCCCCAGCTCAGGGAGGTGGGACTGGGGGGGTTCAGCTGCACAACACCTTCCACCAAACCCCTCAGCAGCGCTGTCCCCCACCTGCAGAACGACTCGTGGGGCAAGCAGTACTCGCACGCCCTGTTCAAGGCCATGAGCCACATGCTGTGCATCGGCTACGGGCAGCAGGCGCCCGAGGGCATGACCGACGTGTGGCTCACCATGCTCAGCATGATCGTGGGGGCCACCTGCTACGCCATGTTCATCGGCCACGCCACCGCCCTCATCCAGTCGCTGGACTCGTCCCGCCGCCAGTACCAGGAGAAGGTCAGTGGGATCAGGGAGGGAGGGCCTGGGTGCTGGGGAAAGGGTCCTGGCACAGCTCCAGAACCAGCTCAGCGCAGCTGTTGTGCCCTTCTGATGCCGGAGGTTGGGATCTTTGGCCTTGCCACTCTCGCTGGGGTTGTTGCAGATGGAGTTTGGGCTGCCCATTGAGAGTGGGACCATATTGGTGTCCATACTGGGGGGTCACTTCAGTGTGGCCCCACCCTGCCCTCTGCCCCGTGCATCCTCTCCTGTCCTTCACCCTCTTTGTGTCAGGGCCCTGGAGCAGGGGTGTGTGTATCTACACCACTGAGGGGAAGGGACACACCACGCTGCCATGCAGGTGGTGCCAGCTGAGCCCTGTGTGCCTCCCCTTGTCCCCGCAGTACAAGCAAGTGGAGCAGTACATGTCATTCCACAAGCTGCCCGGGGACACGCGCCAGCGCATCCACGAGTACTACGAGCACCGCTACCAGGGCAAGATGTTTGATGAGGAGAACATCCTGGGGGAGCTCAGTGAGCCCCTCAAAGAGGTGAGGGCAACGGGTTTGATGAGGAGAACATCCTCGGGGAGCTCAGTGAGCCCCTCAAAGAGGTGAGGGCAGCACTCCTGTGCTGTGATATGGAGGGCAGAGGCTCGTGCTGGCAGGGGCCAGGCTCGGTGATGTCCCCACTTATCAAAAGAGGATGACCCCCGTGTGGGGAGAAATGATGAGAAGGACTCTATAATATCGGAAGGATAATTAATTATTTTATTTTATTTTATTTTATTTTATTTTATTTTATTTTACTTTACTATATTATGCTATATTTTACTATATTATATCATATTACATTACGTCTAAACTGAATTTGCCAAGTACTCAACTCCCCACTTATCGAAACAGGATGACCCCCGTGTGGGGAGAAATTATGAGAAGGACTCTATAATATCAAAAATTTAATTATTATATTATATTATATTATATTACATTACATTACATTATATTATATTATATTATATTATATTATATTATATTGTATTATATTTTACTATACTATATTTTACTATATTATATTTTACTATATTTTACTATATTACATTACATCTAAACTGAATTTGCCAAATACTCAACTTTGTACACAACTGCTTAAAATCTCATGGCTCTCAGCCAACAGTGCTGACATATGAACACATTTGGCCCTGATAGGCCAAGGAAACAAAACACCACCACTTTGGGTAACCAATTTTCATATTGCATTCTACTTTTGCACAAACACAGGCGCAGAAAGCAAGATAATAATTGTTTTTCCTCGCTCTGAGGTTCAGAGAATGTGAAACCCAGAAATATTCTTGGGGAGAACTGTGCCTTGTTTTTTCTCTGTGAAATGTGGCCACACACCCGCTGATCTGCTCCTCATCCTCACCCCACAGGAAATCATCAACTTCAACTGCCGCAACCTGGTGGCCAACATGCCCCTGTTTGCCAACGCCGACCCCAACTTTGTGACAGCCATGCTGACCAAGCTGCGCTTCGAGGTCTTCCAGCCTGGCGACTTCATCATCCGCGAGGGCACCGTGGGCAAAAAGATGTACTTCATCCAGCACGGCGTGGTCAGCATCCTCACCAAGGGCAACAAGGAGACCAAGCTGTCTGATGGCTCCTACTTTGGGGGTGAGGCTGGGCTGGGGGAGCTGGTGGACAGAGTAGGGGCCAAAAAGTGCCTGGGAGGAAAAGCTGGGGCATCCCTGATGTTTCTGCCTGGGAGGAAAAGCTGGGGCATCCCTGATGTTTCTGCCTGGGAGGAAAAGCTGGGGCATCCCTGATGTTTCTGCCTGGGAGGAAAAGCTGGGGCATCCCTGATGTTTCTGCCCGAGCATCCCTGATGTTTCTGCCCTGGAGCAGAAGCTGGGGCATCCCTGATGTTTCTGCCCGAGCATCCCTGATGTTTCTGCCCTGGAGCAGAAGCTGGGGCATCCCTGATGTTTCTGCCCGAGCATCCCTGATGTTTCTGCCCTGGAGCAGAAGCTGGGGCATCCCTGATGTTGCTGCCCGAGCATCCCTGATGTTTCTGCCCTGGAGCAGAAGCTGGGGCATCCCTGATGTTTCTGCCCGAGCATCCCTGATGTTTCTGCCCTGGAGCAGAAGCTGGGGCATCCCTGATGTTTCTGCCCGAGCATCCCTGATGTTTCTGCCCTGGAGCAGAAGCTGGAGCATCCCTGATGTTTCTGCCCGAGCATCCCTGATGTTTCTGCCCTGGAGCAGAAGCTGGGGCATCCCTGATGTTTCTGCCCGAGCATCCCTGATGTTTCTGCCCTGGAGCAGAAGCTGGGGCATCCCTGATGTTTCTGCCCGAGCATCCCTGATGTTTCTGCCCTGGAGCAGAAGCTGGGGCATCCCTGATGTTGCTGCCCGAGCATCCCTGATGTTTCTGCCCTGGAGCAGAAGCTGGGGCATCCCTGATGTTTCTGCCCGAGCATCCCTGATGTTTCTGCCCTGGAGCAGAAGCTGGGGCATCCCTGATGTTTCTGCCCGAGCATCCCTGATGTTTCTGCCCTGGAGCAGAAGCTGGGGCATCCCTGATGTTTCTGCCAGGGGCATCCCTGATGTTTCTGCCCTGGGCATCCCTGATGTTTCTGTCCTGGAGCAGAAGCTGGGGCATCCATGAGGTTTCTGCCAGCCCTTCTCCTCTTGCCCAGTGCCAAAGTCTTGGCATCCAGTTAAAGTGCCAAAGTTTTCACCCCAGTTCTGTCTGGCTGGGGCAGGGGGAGCATCCACAGCTGGCCAGGGAGGAGAGGAGGTTAGAGCAGAACATCTGAGCCAGTTTATAGGATGCAGGCACAGCTCTGGGAGGGAAAGAGGCCAGGCCATCACAGCAGCCACACCTGGGGGTGTCTCCATGGCCTGGAGAGGGAGGGAAATGCCTGGCCAAGGAGAGAGGCTGCAGGGTCTGAACCGTGCTCTGTGCAGGGTGCTGGGGGGCTGGGCAGTGCTGGGGGTGTCTGGGTGTTTGTGTCACCCTGAGGGCAGCCCCGTGCCCCTGCAGAGATCTGCCTGCTGACGCGGGGCAGGCGCACGGCCAGCGTCAGAGCCGACACCTACTGCCGCCTCTACTCCCTGGCCGTGGACAACTTCAACGAGGTGCTGGAGGAGTACCCCATGATGAGGAGAGCCTTTGAGACCGTGGCCATGGACCGCCTGGACCGCATAGGTGAGGAGGAGGAGGGACCCCCTGGGCTCAGCACAGCCGCCTCTGCAGCCACCCCCAGGATCCACATAGGTGTGGAATCCCAGAGCTGGGATGAGTGCCCCAACCCCGTGGGTCCCAGCAATGAGGATGATGGGGAGCATGAGGAAGGAGCCTGCCTTCTCTTTCCCCCCCAGCAAGATCCAGGCAGTGCCGTAGGACAGGCTTCCCTGGGGAAGTGGAAGTGCACTGCATGGTCCTTGCAGCGTTTGGAGTGATGATATCTCATGGCCCTCAGGCCCACATGGCCCCACACCCAGCTGCTTGTCCTCACCCTTCCTTGCCTGTGGAGGACAAGCAGGATCCCATTCCCCAGTTCCTTTGGTGTCAGGACTCTCCTGTTTTGTCCCTGCTGCTTCCACTGCTCTAATCTAGACCCTTCCCAGGGTCTTCCTTCCCCTGGAAAGCTGGTGAGGTTTTATTGTCCCTGCCCTCCACACTGTCCCCAAGAGCCCACACTCCCAGGGTCGGTGACACTCCTGCCTCCCCTCCAGGCAAGAAGAACTCCATCCTGCTCCGCAAGCGAGCCGAGCACAGCTCGGGGCCCCTGAACACCGAGATGATCCAGCAGATCGTGAAGCACGACCAGGACATGGCCCACAACATCCAGGACCTGCAGCAGATGGCGATGGGCCGGGAGCTGAGCGGCAAGCCGGTGATTTGGGAGCCCCTGGTGCACGCACCCCTGCAGACAGCGGCCGCCACCACCAACGTGGCCATCGCGCTGACCCACCAGCACAGCCTGCAGGCTCACATCTTCCTGCCGCCCTCCTCCATCTCCAGCCCGCTCTCTCCCGAGGCCACGCTGCTCACCAAGCCCGTGCGCCGCTCCCAGCCCAGCCTGGGCGGCTCCCGGCCCTCGTCGGTCAGCTCGCCCTCCGGGGCTCCGTCGCACCTGCAGACACCGGCCGCCGCTTCGCCTTCCTCGCCCATGGTCCAGCCCCTGGAGAGCGGCGGGGCCCAGAGACCCAGCTCGGGGGCTCAGCCGCTTCCCCGCTCGGCGCAGAGGGCGGAGATGGCAGCGGGGCCCAAGCAGCCCCCGGGCGGCCCCCAGCCCCAGCTCTCCCGCTCCCGCGGCGCCTCGGTGTCCACCTCGCTGCTGCAGCAAGCGGCGGGCGCTGCGTCCCCCAGCTCCGAGCAGGCGCTGCCGCCGGGGAGAACGCTGCACTACAGCCTGTCCCGAGCCACCGGCTCGCACATCTCGCTCCTGATGCATCCCCAGCAGCTGGTGAAGCACAGGAGCATCCAGGGGCTGCCGGTGGGGCGGCTCACCCAGGATGTCCGGCTCCTTTCTGCCTCGCAGCCTTCCCTTCCCAACAAAGTGGCGCAGCAAGCCGACGGGAGCTCCTTGAAGCAGGGCAGGAAATCCGCGGGGAACCTGGCCCGCAGATCCTCGCCCTCGGTGGCCGGACTGCTGGCCAAGCCGTGCTCGGGGGTGGCCGCGCACTCGCAGCCCCCGGGGTCGCTGCCTCAGCCCGGCCGCTCCACGCCGCAGTCCCCGGGCCCCGCGTCCCGGCCGGCGGCCGCTCCCTCCCGCAAGGGCTCCGTGGCCTTCAGCCCCGAGGTGGAAACGGCGAAGCCCAAACTCCCGTCCAACATGTGAGTCCTGTTGGCGGCCGCACGGGCAGGAGGGAGCCGGGAGAAGCAGAGCGCCAGCCCCGCCGGCTCGGAGGGAAAATGAGGTGAGAGGCAGCAGCCGGGGCCATGGAGGGGCTGTTTCAGGCACGGGGACACGGCAGGGATGGGCATGGGGCCGGCTGGATGAGGAGGGGGCTCTGCTGACTGCCCCTCCTTGCTCATCACCGTCTGTGAGTTCTGCCCTCCTGCCGGAGGCATAGGGCAGGTCAGATTGCCCGAACTCTGGCCTCTCTGGGGAGCTCAGCTCCCCAAAACTGCCCCTCGGGGGCTGGGCCCCCCACGCTCTGTGCCGTGTGTCCCACAGCCTGTCCTCAGGGCCAGGCTGATGATGGCAGCTCCTCCAGCTTGTCCTCTGTCACAGCAGGGGCTGCCCGATGCCCACGTCTGTCCCCAGACTGCTCTGCCCAGCCCCTGCCCAGCCCCTTTGCCTTCGGGGAGAGCAGGCAGAGGCACCCCCTGGTTCCTCTGCCAGGGTGGAGGCAGGAGGCTGGAGCCCATGGCAGGGGCATGGGGGCCCAGGGGCAGCGCTCCCCCTTCCCAGAGTGCCAGGACCACCTGGGGGTCCTGGGCAGGGCTCCCCTGGTGTGACGAGTGCCAAGGGGCAGCGCTGGGGGGGCAGAGGAGCAGCCCCCCAGTCCCTCTGCCCTGCTTGTGGGACCGTTTTGCCTCAGAGGTGCTGAGTGCCAGCCAGGTTGGGGTGTGCTGCTGGGCAGGGCTCTGCCCCACAGCCGGGCACTGCCCCTCCATGTGCCCCCACGGGGGCAGCCTGGGGGGGATTCTGCTGCCTGCAGCTCCAGGAGGATGCTCAGAGGGTCAGTCCAAGGGAACCTTTTGTGGCCTCAGGAAGATGCTCAGAGGGTCAGTCCAAGGGAACCCTCTGTGACCCTGGGATGGTGTCCAGAAGATCATTTGGGATGACCTTTCTGTGGCTGCAGGAGGATGCTCAGAGGGTCAGACCAAGGGGACCCTTCTGTGTCTCCAGGAGGATGCTCAGAGGGTCAGTCCAAGGGAACCCTCTGTGACCCTGGGATGGTGTCCAGAAGATCATTTGGGATGACCTTTCTGTGGCTGCAGGAGGATGCTCAGAGGGTCAGTCCAAGGGGAACCCTCTGTGGCACTGGGATGGTGTCCAGAAGATCATTTGGGGTGACCCTCCTGTGGCTCTAGGAGGATGCTCAGAGGGTCAGTCCAAGGGGAACCCTCTGTGACCCTGGGATGGTGTCCAGAAGATCATTTGGGATGACCTTTCTGTGGCTCTAGGAGGATGCTCAGAGGGTCAGTCCAAGGGGAACCCTCTGTGGCCCCGAGATGATGTCCAGAAGATCATTTGGGGTGACCCTCTTGTGGCTGCAGGAGGATGCTCAGAGGGTCAGACCAAGGGGACCCTTCTGTGTCTCCAGGAGGATGCTCAGAGGGTCACCTGCAGGGCCCCCACTGCCTGTGGCTGCAGGAGGATGCCCAGCCCGGGCTCTGCTCCCCTGCCCTGCCCTGCAGTCCCATTTCCAGGTCCCCTGGAGATGCCACTCACCGGTGCCACAGGAGCTGTCACAAAGAGATGCCAATCCCTGGGTGACGTGTGGGGCCGTGGGGTCACCCCCCATCCAACAGATGTCCCAAATCCCCCCTCCCCAGAGACAGTAGTGTGCAATGTGTGTGCGAGTCGTGGCTCTGCCAAGCAGCCCAGCTCTGCTTCCAGCGTCGCTTTGGGCCAGCCGTGTTCAGTCCTGGTTAGAGTAGTGTCCCCTCCGTCCCCACCGCGCTGCGCCAGCTGCTTCCCTCTCCCGGAGTCAGGAACCGTGGCTTGTCTTCGGGCGAGGTCTCGTTCCCCTCGGTAATTCCCGAAGTGAGATATCCCGTTCTCCACCCTCGTGTTTCGGGGCGTGGGGAGCACTCCGGAGCGCGGGGCTGCTCTGGGAGCACCAGCCCAGCAGGAATCCCGGCAGGGGATGTCCTACACTGCCTTTTTTTTCTCTCTCTCCATGGATTTCAATCCCCCTGCCCTGCTCACATCCCGCTCCATCCCCGCGCTCCTCCGGGCGGGGAAGCTGCAGCGGGGCCGCGCTGTCCCGAATGCCCCGGGCTGTGTTCACACCGTGATGTTCGATGTCTTAGCGCTCCTGGCACCGCCGCCCCGGGCACCTCGGGGCCCGGTGTCCACCCCGGGGGAGGCTGCAGGGGCTGGGGGCGCGAGTTTAGCCACCAAAGACCATGACCCTCTTGCACTCACGGCAGTCCATGTACAGAGCTTGTAGTTTTCATATTCGCAGAGAAATTTAAGAGCAGGTTTTTTTTTTTTATTTTTTTGGTCGTTGTACATAATGGGTTTAAATAATAAAGAGAGATTCTGAGCTGGTCTGGGGGGAAAATCTTTCTGCACCTCCTGCGACCCCGCAGCACAGGGGGATGCTGCAGCACCCCAGCTCCAACCCTGCCCTTCTGCAGAGCCAGGAAACCCTCGGGAGGCACCGAGGGGCCTCTCCCGACCCCACAGACCAGGGTGGCATGGCAGGAGCCCAAAGGCAAGATGTCCCCTCCCACCCACCCCTGTCCCTTTGGGCTCTGGGCAGATTAATGTTTAATCTTTGGTTATTTTCCCCTTCCATCTCCGGTCCCTTTACTGCGGGGGGGGAAGGGTGGGTTGGATCCCGCCTGATTGCAGCGCAGCACTCGAGGCATTAACGCGATTAAATGAAGGTCACACAGCGCAAGGTGGGCCGGGGCAGCCGAGCCGCGGGCACTGCGGCACCTGCGGCGGCTCTGGGGGCACAGCCGCGCTCGGTCACCCGCCACGGGCCCCGGGCAGGACACGGTGGTGGCAGGACACGGTGGGGACAGGACACGGTGGTGGCAGACAGGACACGGTGGTGGCAGACAGGACACGGTGGGGACAGGACACGGTGGCCACCCAGCTATGCCCTGCCCGGTCTCCCCACCGCAGGCCCCCGTTACCGGGCCAGCCGCGGCCCTCAGACCCCGTTACCGGGGCGGGGCATCCCTTACCCTCAGTCCCCGGTTACCGGGGCAGCCCCTGCCCTCAGGACTCGTTACTGGGACAGCCTCGCCTTACCGGGGCAGCCCCTGCCCTCAGGATTCGTTACCGGGGCAGCCCCTGCCCGCAGCCCCGCGTTACCGGGGCATCCCTTACTCGCAGCCCCCATTACCGGGGCATCCCTTACTCGCAGCCCCGCGTTACCGGGGCATCCATTGCCTGCAGCCCCCGTTACCGGGGCAGCCCCTGCCCTCAGCCCCCGTTACTGGAGCAGCCCCTGCCCTCAGACCCCGTTACCGGGGCAGCTACTGCCCGCAACCCCGCGTTACCGGGGCATCCCTTACTCGCAGCCCCGCGTTACCGGGGCATCCATTGCCTGCAGCCCCCGTTACCGGGGCAGCCGCGGCCCTCAGACCCCCTTACCGGGACAGTCCCTGCCCTCACCCCCTCGTTACCGGAGCACGCCCGGTTCTCAGCCTCCCGTTACCGGGGCAGCCCCGGCCCGCAGGACTCGCTACCGGGACAGTCCCTGCCCTCACCCTCTCGTTACCGGGGCCAGCCCCTGTTCTCAGCCCCCCGTTACCGGGCCAGCCCCTGTTCTCAGTCCCCCGATACCGGGACAGCCCCGCCTTACCGGGGCATCCCTTACCCTCACCCCCCCGTTACCGGGGCAGTCCCGGCTCGCAGGACGGTGCTGGCGGCCCCCTCCCCGCTCCCCGCAGGAATTAGGCTCCGTGACACACGAAGAGCTCAGCGCTGATTAACGGTTTCTCTCTAATTTGATTATTTCAGATTACACCGCAGCCAGCCTGATTAAGGGGGCGCAGGGCAAAAAAAGAGAAATTTTTGGGGGGAATGAATTCCAGCATTTGTCCTATTCCCATTCCAACACTCGGTTTGTGTCCGTGGGCAGGGCTGTCCCCGAGGCACGGGGACACCGGGTCACGGTGGTCGCCCGGGGCTGAGGGCAAACCCCCGGGACACGGGGGCCCCGCAGAGCCCCGGGGATGCGGGCAGAGCCTCGTTCGTCCCCGGTTCCCGCTCCCCAAGGACACCCGTCCCGGAACCGGAGGCTCTGCCCCGAGCCCCCGCGTCCCGGTGGCGGCGGGAGGGGGATTAGAGGGCACCATACAGAGATTAATTAACGCGGGTGAGCCGGGATTAGGGGATTCGGGGCCAATCTGCGGGGCGGGGACCAGGCAGGAGCTGCGGGCAGCAGCGGGGAGGTGGCACCGCCTGTGCCCGGCCCGGGTCACCCTGCGGTGTCCATCGAGGGTCCGTGGGCAGCTGGACCCCTCCCCAGAATCCGGGAGCTCCCCCGGACACGCGGGTCTGTGGTGCAACCCACACTCCACACCTGTACTGCAGGTGACCTGTACCTGTGCGGCACCTGCACGGTGTGCAGCACACCCCAAAACTGCTCTGTACCCCAAAACTGCTCTGTACCCTATAACAGCACACCCCACAGCTGCTCTGTACCCCAAAACTGCTCTGTACCCCATAACAGCACACCCCACAGCTGCTCTGTACCCCATAACTGCTCTGCACCCCAAAACTGCTCTGTACCCTATAACAGCACACCCCACAGCTGCTCTGTACCCCACAGCTGCTCTGTACCCCAAAACTGCTCTGTACCCTATAACAGCACACCCCACAGCTGCTCTGTACCCCAAAACTGCTCTGTACCCCATAACAGCACACCCCAGAGCTGCTCTGCACCCCAAAACTGATCTGTACCCCAAAACTGATCTGTACCCTATAACGGCACTGCACCCCATAACTGCTCTGTACCCTAAAACTGCTCTGTATCCCACAGCAGCACACCCCAGAGCTGCTCTGCACCCCAAAACTGCTCTGTACCCTATAACGGCACTGCACCCCGCAGCTGCTCTGCACCCCATAACTGTGATGCACCCACACCTTCACAGCGTGTCAGCGGCATTGCACCCCACACCTGCGCTGCTTGCCACTCCTGTGCTGCACCCCACACCTACGCTGCACCCCACAATCACATGTTATGCCACGCCTGCCTGCTGACACCTGCACAGCGCCCCAAACCCGCCCTACAACCCCACAGACCGCGTGGCCCCCCACGCCCCCATTTTGCCCCAGTTCCAGCGCACCCCATCCCCGTCTGGGTGTCCGCGCCCCCATTTCCCTCCCGGTCACCGAACGCGCCCCAAAGCCCCGCCCTAAAGCCTCGCCCCAAAGCCACGCCCTAGAGCCACGCCCTCAAGCCGCGCCCTCAATCCCCGCCACGCCCCCGCGCCACGCCGGGCGCTCTCTCCATTCCGCCTCTCCACCAATCACCGGCCTCGCTCCCGCCCCCGCCGCGCTCCCATTGGTTCAGCCGCCTTGGGCTCATCCTCGCGCGATGAAACGGGCCAATGAACGCTGCTCCAACCGCGTGCCCGCTGGCCCGCCTCCGAACACGGGGCACTCTGGGAGTTGTAGTCCAACGCAATGGCTGTAAGCGGCCGCGGCCTCTCCTCGGGACTGCACATCCCGGCGTGCCCCGCGAGGGGGGCGGGGCGGGGGCGGGGCCAGAGGTGCCGTGGAGGCCACGGGCGGCAGCGGCGGGACCGCGAACAGGCAGCGTGAACTGGCACCGAT